AAACCCCTAAACCCCTAAACCCGACGAACGCCTCCCTTTTGGACCACCCCCTGGGCCTGCGGTGACCCTGGCAGGGTCCCGCCAGGCCGTGCATTCCATCAGCGGACCCCTGGGGAAGCTCCAGATCTCCTTTCAGAGTTTATAGGGTTTAGGGCTTTCGGGGTTTAGGGGTTAAGGCTTTTGGGGTCTGGGGCTTGAGGCTTTGAGGGTTGAGGGTGTAGGGTTGAGAGGGTTAGGGGTTTAGGGTTTAGGGGTCTAGGGTTTAGGGCTTTTGGGGCTTGGGGAGTTTAGGGTTTTAGGGTTTAGGGTTTTAGGGCTTAGGGAGTTTAGGGTTTATCGGATTTGGAGTTTAGGGAGTTTAGGGTTTAGGGTTTAGGGCTAAGGCTCTGGGCTGGGCTTTGGGGCCTGATCAAGGAAGGCCTCGTTGCTTTTTATGGGAGTTCCATGTGGGGCTTCTTTCAGGGTCTTTATAGGGGTTGGATAGGGTTTTAAGTAGGCCTGGTATCGGGTGTGATTATGGGGCGCTGTTTAGGGTGGCTTTTTGAAGTTTTTTTGCAGGTTCAGGTTTGGGTTTTTTTTAGGGTTTCGGGATCTCCAAGGTACTGCCGCTGATGATGTGAATCCTACATTGCCCATAACTACGGAATGTGCCTGTAACTCCCCTAGTTTAGGGTCCTTAAGGTAATGCTAAGGGTTTATTAGATCATCAACAGCATGGGGCTTCATTGCGTGTTCTACGTTGCTTGCGGGGGTTCAATGCGTCTTCTAGTGTCGCGATCCAAGGCTTAGGTTCCAAGGAATGAGTTTTAGCGTAAAATTGGTTCAATATGAGAGTCAGTGTTTAGAGTTTTCATATTGTGGTTTAAGGTTTGCGGTTCACGGTTCCAGGGTTGGGTCATAGAGCTTACCTGAAGAATGACATGGTGACATGAGGTAGTGTCAGGTTTCTGATGGGCTGATGGGTTAGACGTGGCATTAGAAGGCTTTATGGAACCGACGGCAAACAAGGTTCACAAGGGCTTCATGAACGACTTGACTGAGTTTGAAACAAGTGTTGTCAGGGTAGTTGTGCATCCCTGTTTGCGGGGCCGTTATGTGGAGAATCCGGGCCGTTATGCGGAGAATCCTATCGTGTGGAGCTTGCGACCTCCGATTTTTGTTAGGATCTGAACTGTTTTTCAAGGCGTCATGGTGTTTGCAAGGGTTTGCTAGGGCCTTGTAAGGATTCAATGGACGTTTTGCCTTAGACTTGAGGCGCTGGTCTTCCGGGGTTTACATAATACCAACCCTAAACCCTCTAAACCCTTTAAACCCTCTAAACCCCCTAAACCCCCTCTAAACCCCTCTAAACCCTCTAAATCCCCTAAACCCCCTCTAAACCCCTCTAAACCCTCTAAACCCCCTAAACCCCCCTTCTAAACCCCTCTAAACCCCTCTAAACCCTCCAAAAATCACCAGTACTCGGGTTTTTTTGGTGCAGGGTTTGGAGCTCCTGGAAGCAGCAGACCAGCAGGCAGGACTCCTCCCCAGCGTCTTTTCCATGCTCCTGTGCTCTTCTGAGATATATGGGAGGGCCTTCTTTTAAAGAAAAATTGGCTCCTTGCTCCTTATTCCCAATAAACTTGGTGATGTATATGTTATATGTATGTATGTACGAATGAATGCATGTGCGTATGCATATGTGTATGTATGTGTATATTTACTATGCACATGTCAAAGAATCACAAACATCAAGAACTGCCACGGCTCGCTGAGAAACTTCAAGAGCTGCTGGTCATGGAAGGCCCGCCACCGCCCGAAGCGGTGGAAGAGTAGGGGAGAGGCAAAGGGCACGCCCCAGCAATTCCAGGTGGTCAATGCGCTCAGCAAACTGCGCGGCGCCGATTCCATGGCCGAAACTACGAAACCTCAACTCAGAGAGACCCCTGATCAAGAATTTCCCTGGTCTGTGAGGGCGCCACAGCATGTTGATCCTGATCATCACCTTTACTGACGGAGGCAGGACGGTTGATCAAGGTTCCATATATTGTTGTGTCCTATGTTACACATCACGGTCTGCGAGAGTTTGGATATCCTCTGCTTCGCACTTGGCCGAAAAGTCAGTTGCCTTTCCATTTCGACTCGACTCCGACCTGACATCTCCAGCAAGTCAAGAAATTTGGAAAACACCAGGTCAGTGATTGTGGGTTTCCGGCAGTTTGAAATGTCGTTGATCTCGGCAACAGCCACTGTAGCCTGCGCAGCATTCCCAGCCCCATGAGTCCTCAAACCCTCCACGCGGGCAGCTCAAACCGTGACTCTCACTCGTACCTGTTTTACAGCATCTCTGGATTGCTGCTCGAGGGAGGCTCCGCTTCCTTTGGAAGGCCTCTCCTGCTTCCTGGAAACAGCCTCGGCCGGGGCTTCCCTTGTCAGGGATGAAATCATACAGGAAAACTGGACAGCAAAAAGAAATCAGAGCTCTGCATGCTAGCACACGAACTCCACCATCACAATCCACAGCTGCTGCGCTGGTGCACAGCCGCATCACTTCTGGGCTACGACCTACCTTGCCGAGGGCCATGAGACTTGCCCAGATGATTAAAAGGAAGCAGAAGTCTTTCTTGTGTCTGGAAGCTCGCTCTGCATGAGAAGCGATGGTGAGATGGATGCTGAACTGACCCACTACATACTATCATATAACGCCAAGAATGGGCCAAGAATAAGAATAACGCTAACAATCATAATCGTACTATCTTGGCTTCTTGCCGTCAACCTTCGCCTTCTCAGTCTGCTTGCGCCGAGGCTGAGTTGCTGATGGTTTGGGAGGAAAAGCAAGGCCAAGCATGACATCCATGAAGACTGGTTGAAAACGTTCGTCTACGGGCAACCTGTTCTTCGCTTGAATCTTCACGATCTCATGTGCAGTCATGACTTGCTCAGTAGGGCGTGTAGATCCCATGTGTGTCACCTGAACCCGATGGGAACAGTTTGGCTGCGATCCCGAGCAGTTGTCAACAAGGATGTTGAAGTCGGCAACATCAGGAATCGAGGGATCATTTGCGAAGACCACGATACGGCCTGAACTGGTCGTGGTTAGCTTCTTGCTCAGCAAGTCGCGGCGGACCTGAACCTTCTCTGCCACAATACGGCTAATCCCTGCAACTTTCAAGGCAAACAACCGACGATTGTCCAATGAGTACAATGCATCTTCATACTCGAAGACTTGAAGCTTCGGTAGATCTGCGGCCTTTGACGCACCAGCACGCAGATCCTCAGCCAAGGATTTGACGGAGCGGCCATCACGGAAGCGACAGCTAATGGTATTCTGCGTGAACCGGAGTTGCTGCACGTCAACATCCAGGTCAGAAATGCGATAGATGCAATCACTCAATCGCTGGAGGTTGCATTCATTCAAGTCGACCCCGATCTCGGCTGACTCACTGGGTCGGAAGCATGCCTCCCAGTCATCCCACTCCGGCCCCAAACTCTCGGATGAGGTCGGCCCCCTCGACTCGGACAAGACCTCCTCAGTGAGTTTCTGGACCCGTACGAAACTGACGTGTGGGAGGACATCGGGCTCCGCTTCTGGCGCATGTCCAACACACTTCCATGGCGCATCGGCAGTCACGCACGAGTACATTCCCGCAACCTGTTTCGTCCCAAATTTGAAGACTGGGGTTCCGCAGCTGCCTGACGGCAAGTTACCAGCATTTCCAATCTCGAACGATCGCGCTAGCCACGCCATCTCGAAAAAGTCTTTGTCCCCTGTGTTCATAAGCAGAGACACGTATTGCGCTAGTGAAGGCCACTTCTCTGGGCGTCTCTTGTGTTGTCTGACAGTCTTGTTGTAAAAAACCCAGACAGGAAAAGATCATGTCTGCAAGCTGCACCATCAGGTAGCTTAAGGCTTCCTCGGGCGTGTCACAACAGCGTGATGCCAAGCTGACGGAGGTCAGCCGCTCCGCTTCTTCCAGTAACCCCTGCCAATACTTCAGCTCTGGGTCCTGCTCGGAGTATCCCCAAGGCGGAGAGGGCACTCCAGGGCAACTCTTCTCGTGACATAGCCGATATGAGTGCCAAACCCCACTGCCGTCTCGTCCGTCAAGATCCATGACCACTGTGTCATTGTGAAACCCCGACTGGTGACGGATGGGCCATGCATGAACATTGTCCTTCAGCTGCGGTGGGGGCACCCCCCTCGCAGGTGCGAAGACCTTGAACAACGCGACATAGACATGCTTGCAGGTGACCCCTCGAACATGTGGAAGATTCTCCAGTGTGCACAAGAAGAGATCAGGCGGGTCATGGCCGGCTTGTTGGATCTTGCGTCGAAGCAGTGCAAATTCGACCTCGGCTTTGGTGCTAGGCTTCTCATTGATGACGTCTACGAAAGGCGCACAGCCTGCGAAGGGCGTGCTAAGCTTCAATGTCAAGGGCCCCAGAGGACGACCCAAGACAGGTTCGAAGGCGCCTCCTGCTGCAGACGCTACCTGCTGAATCCAGGGGTAGTCGGGTAAATCGCCCTGAGCTGGTAGGGGGTTGGACGTTTCCTGCGAGGGCACTCTTGAGAGCCAGGTGCCCAGGCAGCCGAGGCAGGTACCCATTGCAACAGAAGACCGGGAAGCGAGCTGCGAACATGCCGGCGGATGCCACGGCGATAACCAGAAACTGGTCTGCAGCGCATCTCCAACTACGGGGGGGCTGTGTCGGTTGCAAGGTTTAGAGTTTCAGGTTTTGGATTTTGGGGCTTAGGTTTCAAGAACAGGGTGCTCCACCAGTGCGAGACTGAGACTCTATGAATTTCATGTACCTCTCAGCCCTGATGACAAAAACCTCTGCGAAGGCCTCTTAGAACATGAATGAGGATTCCTCTAGGACTCTACCCATAAGGCCCTAAGTAGTTCCTTTTTGGGATTACCTTATAGGATTCTAAATATAAACCATTGAAAGGATCGAACTATTTGGAGGCCTATGGGTAGGCCCTGATACCCGCAAAGGGAAGATGGAGCAGTAATCAGGGATCTACTGGCCAAAGGCGGCTGGCGTCGCTTTTGCAGGAGCCTGGGTGTCCCGTCACATGCTGCTTCGATCCCCCAGAGCTAACCCTGGGGGCCTGCTAAGACCCTTTCGCGAGAAAATTCCCTAGGATGTAAACTACCCATGTACGAGGTTCAGGGTTTAGGGCTGTATAACCTAAGCTGTGTTTCTTGACTCGGCACGGGGTCAGGTGGGCTCTCTGGGAAGCTCCAGCCGATTCGGCTGTGCCCGCGCTATTTGGTAAGCGCGGGTCGATCAGGACCGGTGGACCTGAGATGACAAGGCTTAATACGGATACCTCAATACCTCAACAAGTAGATCCCGTGAGGTAGGTGTAAGCAAATTTCAAAGCTCTTGTAGTACTAGGGGGTGATCACTATTCGCAACTAAGTCCAAGACGTATAAATTCCGACGGAAACACGAAACATGTATACCGACCGCCAAGAAACTGCAAGCATGGACGACGCACATCTGCAAAATGACTTGAAGATAATGTTGTACCCATTGCGATGGCGAAGCCATGAATTAGGTTTCTACTGCACTTCTGTGAATGTTCAAGACAGCACTTGCAGGCAAGGCTGCGCGGCGGCTTCGCAGCAACTCTTTGCCGTTGGCTTCGCCGTGTTGCGCAAGTAAACCTGGAGGCATCCAAGGATTTACCTAGTCGTAGGTAGGAGGCCTACTACCCGCATAGAAGCGAAGCGGCGTACAAGAGACGCGGCGACTGACTGTGCGTCGGCCACGGGAGACTTCCAATCCTTGGATCATGCGGAACATGACAACAAAAATTAAGGAGCCCAAATAAAGGGTACCTTATTATGGGGTCCTTTTAATAAGGATCCTACTTTTTAGGGTACTATATTATGGTCCCCTACTTCGGAAACTTGAAGGAATCTGAAGGGCGCCCTTGTAGGTACTCTGATAGCACCCTTAAAGGAACCCTTCAGGGAGCCCTTATAACGGAGCAACCCATGTCGGGGTACCCTTATAAGGGAACCCCTAAAAAAATCATCTTGCGGCACCCTTGAAGGAACTCCACCCCTAAACCCCTAAACCCCTAAACCCTCAACCCCTAAACCCTCTGAACCCCTAAACCCCAAGCCCCTATACCCTAAACCCCTAAACCCCTAAGCCCCTAAACCCTAAACCCCTAAACCCTCTGAAACC